GAATTTGACAAGCTAATTGGATTCCACGTAGCCGATTTACACGGCAAATTTTTTTAATTTCCGCAAAAGGTGCCGAATTTCGAAAGTTACGAAGGTTTTTAGAAATTGGAAAATTTAAGGTGACCCCCAAAATTCGTCAATTTTCCTCGATTTTCGGGGGTATGTCTCGAAAATGGCCATTTTTCAGGCCAAAATCGTAGATAAAGTGGCTAAACAAATTACATATCCTGAATCAGTACAAAAAGTTGGCTATATAAGAGCAATATCAGATTTGAGCTAGGAGACCAAAAAATTGGCGAAAAATTACTCCAAAATTTGCGTATCTATTCGGATACACTAGGCAATGAAGGGTTAATAGGCGACCCTAATAATTTAGGCACAAAGAGGAATGTTCAAAATGGCCAATTTTTAGGGTCTCAAATTTTGGATGTCCCACGTTTTTTTGTGTTAGAACTTTATTTTCGACACGGAAGATGCGACAGTTTTCTTACCTTGCACTTTCTTATAAAATTTTAAAACTCGGTGAGTCACGGCCAGCAGAGATAATTGTGGACTGTTTCTTGCAGAATCTTGAGCCTTAGTAATATAATTGGTAATGACTGGACAGGTATACTGTTGAAAGGCCAGCGAACTATATCGAGATTTTGTTTTGGAGACTTGATGACTCATATGAGTAATTATAGCCCATGGCATTCGTAAGAGCCGTATTTTTCTCGATACTACCCGTGAGGGGCTTATTTTAGGAATGCGGTAATTTCTCCTATGAATCATCAAGACTCCAAACCAAAATCTTGAAACGGCTCGATGGCTTTTCAACAGTATACCTGCAGCCAATACCAAATATATTACTCAGGTTCAAGCTCACCAAAAATAGTTCATAATTAACTCTGCTGTCTTTGACTCTGTGACAACTAAACGGCTTTTAAAAGTTCGACGGGTATAATAACGGCAATTATCGGCTTCGTTTTCAGAGAGGTCGACTACCTGCGAAGAATCCGAAAATGGGCGATTGGTACACCTTCGATCTGCGCAATGTAAGTTTTCTCTTTTTCTAAATTTTCAATCCTGAAAAATGAGTTCCAATTTGATCTTTGGTCTCTTCTTTAATCTGTGCAGGAATAGAAAGATTCAGGATTTAGACAAGACTTTTTTAACCGATGAATTGGTTCGAGATTGGTCTTAACCTTTTAAGACATCTCTAGAGATTGATCTTGACCTTTCAGACAGCTTCTATGCACTAGTCCAGTGAACTTTATCCACATTTTTTCTCAAGTTTTACCTGCAATTGACGTTTCCGGATTCACTCTCTTCAATTTCAGGTGATGGTCCACATGATGAGCGATGAGAACAGGCAAAAGTACGACTTTGAAACATTGTTCGGGATCGGGCCAGAGCGAAGAGAATCTCCCTATTCGGGACTAAACCTGGCGGTCAATGAAGCGTACCTTCCTCCGTCGGCGGTGGTGAACAAATCCTAGACTTTTTCGAAGAAAAATAAGATTTTTACCTTCTTTACAGTTATTCGATATTGTTACGTTTAAATGTAAATACGACCTGCGAGTAAAAATTTTATTGAAATGTTTCACGTCTAATGATCAAAGACCATTTTTATACGATTGTTGAGAAAAATAACGCAAAGACCAAAAATTACAGTTTTAAGCCACATTCTTCTAATGTCTCAGGTATGTTAGGGATTTTTCATAAATCCCGAGATATGCTTATTCGATTTTCAGACACTCGACCCTATCGTTTCTTTTCCTCCAACTTTCACGTTATCTCTCGCTTTTCCGTTGATTGCTTTGCTTAAACGTTCAAGTCAATACCAAAATGTTTGGAAACAATTTGAATCAAATTTGAAACATTTTGGCCTTTCTACGTACTCTGAAATGTTTATTGACTTTTGTCTGTTCAAACTAAACTCATAAAAGTGCAAAAGGAAAAGTGCAACTGTCCATCCGATAAGGTATTTTGAAAGGAAATTTATTTTCTCATTATCTGTCGAAACAATTGAATTTTGAAACAATTTCGACAATGTTCTCTAATGGGACTGACTCAAATTCCAATTCTATCAAGGCCACGCTTCAAGTGCAGGCTTGAAGATTGTGAGGAATGTCACTCGAGAGCAATTGCTTGAACTTAAGCAGGCGGTAGGTTGGCAAGTTTTACGTATTGAAACTCTCAATCAGTACTTTTTGATCCGCACTCTTCTAATGCTTCAAGCTATTCTTTCCCTCTCATTTTCACGTTATCTCTCGCCTTTCTCTGACTCAGCTCGCAGACCCGCCTCAGCTGTCGTGGGGTTTCGGGTGGACGATCCCTCTCAGGTTTGTAGAGGCGCCTGGGGTGTTTATGTCGGTCTTGAAGTAAAGTATTGCGGAAAGTCTCGAAACGTATAATCAAAACTTCATTTTTATGAGTTGTGGGTGGAAGCCATATTTGGTATTGAGAATGTTTTAAACTTAATTGCAAGTGTCCGCTGGCAGAAGTGATCTTTCGGTCAAAAGAGGAGCGCAGTCGTAAACAAATGATGTTTTGTTCTCGGAATTCATTCGAGATTTATCACTTTTTTGGATAATTGATGACTATTGGAGAATGGCATAATATAACGGTGTTTAAGAGGTGACGTGTGAAAACGAGTGGCACTTCCGGGATTATCCTAAAATGGTGATTCTTCTAAGTCTTCTTCTGAGTTGTGACATGTGTTAAAGTGCATCCTGAAAACACATCCTGAAACTGAGCAAAAACGCAGAATGTTGCATTTGAAATGCAAAATGATTGTCTGAATGAATGATGATTCATCGTCATGAACAATGATTCCTCTGATTTTTTATCTGCGTGGGAAAAATTTAGAAAATTGACGTCTTTTTGAAAAAAATTTGAATGGACATAAATTGCAAGTTTCTGTCCGAAAATAATTTTTTAACTCATTTCCGGAGGATATTTCCCGGATTTATGTCTTGAATTTTATTTTGCGCCCCTCTGAACATGGCGTCATTTTTCAAATTGCCGCCAATATCGGAAAATGCGTTTACTCTTTTTTGACTGCCTCACCGGTATTCCCTTAGAAAGATTGGAATGCGCGAAATCACTTCGCCAAATTTGCTACAAATTTGAAATGGTCAAAAATGCCATTTTGGGTCAGTCAAAAGGGTTTTCGAGATCTGAGAACAAAATTTCGACATAGGTCGAACCGGAGGTCGAACTGGTCGAAAATGCAATGTTTGGTCTTTTTGTTGTTTTTGGTAGCATAAATGGCAGTCCTGAGCGCCCTTATGCCCTCCGGTCTGGTCCCATTAACAGCTGGCACAGGTGATGTAACCTTTTATTCTCGATCTGCGTTCTGTCAAAGTGCGCAATTGGTCAATAATTGCTGGCCTGTTCCCCAATTTTGGACATTTACCCGGAGGCATTGTCGTCATTGAACACAAAGCACAGCGCTTTTCGTATACAAAACAAAAAGCAAAGGTCAAGCAAGCCAGCCGAGAGCAAAGGTGTTCGTCTTCGAGAGTCTTGAATCGTCAAAGGGAAGAATCGTCAACGAAATTGCGGTTTTATTCCCGAGTCGTAATTGAATGGAATGCGAAACAGCCAATTAGGATAGGTTTTAAAGCCCGACTATAACCAAACAACGCCCGGGGCACTGCGCAATGCCTGAGGCATTGGCCTGAAAAACTCGTGAGGTAACGCCATCAGAGGCCCACGGTTGCAGAAAGAGATACCTATAATTTGAGATACCTATAATTTCGTGGCTATCGAATAGCTGGCTTTCCGAGAACGAGTTCTCGGAAAGCCCTGAGGCTCTGAGAAAGGTTGTATTTCCTGGTGACATTTCTGGTATCGTCATCGGAGATATGTTTTGATGCTGATCTTAGACCAACAAATCTAAAGCTCACAAACTTCAGGTTCACTTTTCAGATATACCTGTTGTGTCTGAAGCAACTATTAGGTTGGTAACAAAGGTTTGACACTCGAGGCAGGATTTTTTACCGAAAAATCGTGGTTCCGGAAATTTTGCCGATTTCACCTATATAGGGTTTTTTGATGCGGGGAATCCGGATTTGAGGTTATTTTTGACGTGGGGTTACCCCCACAGGGGTAACCCGGAAGCTCTAAAAAAATGTTTAATAAGAAATTTTTTCGAATGTCTTATCAAAAAATTTTGCAGCTCCTTTTTTCTGCCAAATTCTCAAACTTCTTCCTGAACGACGTCAATCCTACGACTTTGAATCGAGAATGCCGATCCCGACGTAACTGGTTTCCGATCTCTTACCTGGCTGGAATGGCTAAATCTAAACACCAAACATTATTCTAATCTATAAAACGTATTCTATCCAAAGCAATGATCTCGAATTAAAGTAGAAGATGAGTAATGAAGAGAGCCAACTTCGCACCAGTCTTGTTTCATACTTTAGGCTATTTTTAATTGCAACTTTTAACGATTCACCTGGTGCACTTGTAATTTTGAGGTGTTTAATGCCAATGGCACAAACTATACTATTCAGCTTACGATTTTTGCTAATGTCATCTCAAATTTTTACTATAAATCCTTTCCGTCAAACTTTCCGGATAAACAAAATTTTGGCTCTAATTTTTTGATATTCAACCAAATTTCGGCCTATTTTTGTGAAATTTTTGGTTTTTTCTACATTTATACAAATAATTGTCCAAAATTATGAAATTCTGCCCAGAGAAAATTTTTTATAATCAATAGGGGCCTTTTGTTTTTCTCCAAAATTTTAACCGAATTCATTCCGGCTAAGCGAATTTTTCCGGTTAAACCACATAAATTTTGTTCCAGAAAACCGAAATACCTGATGAGAGTGTGTCCGGATATGCTCTTTCAATCCTTTTCCGGAAAACAGACAAAACTTTGCTTTATAAGCTTCTCCGCGTGACCTCCAACATTGCGCAAAAACCCAATAAGGTACTCGAGAGTAGTCGAGAATTACCTATTTGGACTCCCAGGTAACATAACTCACCTTCTAGGAGCATTGCACATCGCCCTTGTGGCTCAGGGATTAGAGCGTCGGTCTTGTAAACCGAAGGTCCATGGTTTGAATCCATGCTGGGGCATTCACTTTTTTATCTCAAAATGTCATACGGGCCAGAAATTTTCAGGATCATTTTTGGAAGAATCGACATTCCTTGAAAAAATTGGCAGTTTTTTGACATGCCAGCCTGATGTGTTGGTACAACGCACTGTATTAACCGTGGGCCTATCCCATTAGGGCAAATAGAATAATTTCCCAGGATTTAAGTTTCCATTTTCCAGGATTTGAGTTAGAGGGCTTACAGTATCGCCATTTCTGTTTTCTGGATCATATTTTCTGGATAAATTTGCTCCCTGTCCCCAGCGAACGCAAAATTTGCTTTTTTCTCTTGTCTTGCCCCAAATTGAACTTAATCTGGCATCCAGAAAATTCTTCTCACTGAATTGTGTTAAACTTTCCCCCTCCAGGGACATCTAATTGGCCCTTCAAAAGTCTAAATTTGATGACCTTTTACAGTTTGGATTCGATTGAAAGGATTTCTGGAATGCCAAGAATTCCTCTAGGATTCCTCCAGGATTATAATGGAAAGTTGAACAATTCGGATTGTTGGCCTTTGGTTGTTACTTCGTTAGGCCGGCATAATTCCGGATGATGGCATAGTTCTGGAGGGCCGCTTTTGTCGCATCCTGAAAATCCCGAGGGGGGGTCATTGACTCGCCGACTGCTTAGAACACAAATTGGACGCATATCCGATTCGGGAATGGACCGCTGCTCGGAAGTGATTATTGGATTAGAGCCATTCTCGAAGAGAAGCGAGAATCATAGGCTATTGTTAGCAGGCATTATGAGTCACTGAAGGCGTTATGAGTCATATTCGGGATTTGAATAACAAGGCAACAATAGAAATTATTGAATAGAGAATTGCGCATAACAGTTTGAGGGCACACTTGATCTTGAGAGATTTCAGTGCGCGAGATTCAGATTCATATATTGAGTATGGCCCTCAGGATATATGCCCGCAGGTGTTGCTCTGCTAATATTTTACAGCATACTCAGAAATTGCAACAAAATTTTCAAGAAGGCAGAATCTCGAACAAAAATGTAAACTGAGAAAAGTGTCGTGTGAAAAAGAGTGGCATTTTAGTTTCACGTTGAGTTCTGACAACGGTAAAATTCTCGTAGAAACATAAACTTTCCCAAGGCAATTTCTTTTGGGCCCTGACGATAGTCGAGTATTGACCTGCTTTTGGGCAGGTATGTCTAGCTTGATTGTATTTTGACTTCAATACGCCAACGCGTTTATTACCTTCGTGATTTTGGTAGCCTTTCGCAGAAGCTCACGCCAAGAGCGCGCCCACACAAAATTTGTACAAATAAACAATTTCGAAACACGTAAAATTATGGCAGACATTGCACTCTTACGCGAAAAGGAAACGGATTTGTGTCTAGTATGATATCAATGAGGATTAGTGCCCAAAAGTTTCGAGTCTCATCAATATATGGATTGATTTTCAGAACAGTCCAGTTGTGTGGTCCATATAAGCGAGAGTTTCTTTGAGTGAGTTGAAAGTTGCAAAAGTTTTTGTTAATTGCGGAATTTTTTTGTTGCCTTCAAATTTTTTTGTTACCAAAATTTAAAAATTTTTGTCTCTTGTTGAAACTTGATCATTGGTCCTCTAAGTACAAAATTTGGCAACATTGCTAATGTTTCTTTACGGATACATTCAGGATTTCCTTTCAAGGATCAGTTATGTTACTCTGTAGTTTAAGATTAAAAGTACAATGCCGCAAGTCTCATGTAACTGTATTGAACCACAAATATTTACCTTTAAAAAACTATCATTATACAATCCCTTACCTGTTCAGTTATTTTACCTTGCCCAATCATATTTCCCACATTGATCGGACTTCCGTTATTTTTCAATGCCTAATACGCAAATTATGTGTTGAATGACCGCAGGGCAAACCATTCGGTGCCCAGTGAGAAATTTTGCCCAGCGAGAAATCTCCTTTGTCGGTATCTCTTTTTTCTGTCCAAAATTATAGGGCAATTCAAAATCTGTGCCGCCGATTGTTTCCATTGATACGAATGTTTGTGTTGACTGTCGCGATAAATGCCCTTTAAAAAGGTGAATCGGCCCATCAAAGGGCTGAGACTGCTATGAGAAAGTTTCCGTTTTTGATGAGACTCGAAACTTTTGGCACTAATCCTCGTTGCCGTTTACCTCCGCTACCTGAAGATTGAGACACATGAGTCTTACCTGCCTCCCAAATCGATCTACCTGAGCTGCGCACCTCGTTGAGAGGCCGAGATCGTGTGAATTGTTGCCTTTTGTTTCAATATGAAATTACCTTCGAACGCGGCGGCCTTTGAAAGGAAAAGGCTTTGCTCTGCCAAATTTGGGCAGAGTTTGGATGACAGTTACAAAAATGTTTGTTTTGGACTAATCCCTTGCTTTGTGTGCGCAAACTTTCATTCAAACTTCCGATTTTATGTTTGGATTATGGGCAAAGTTGGATCGGCGGCATACAAAAAGGACAAAAAATGTTATTGTTTTGGGTAACTGCAATCTTTGAGGATTAGGCTAGGTTTTGTTTATTGCCGGAGGCGTTTCTGGATTCTGAATGACAAAATGAAAGTCAGATTTGGGCTAAACACTGAATTTTTGTCTTGAAAATAAGTTTCATGTATGAGGCAAAAAATTTGCTGAGAATAGTCAGAAACAGGTGATCTTCAACGGTAGGTGGCACGGTCTTGCTCGGGATCTGCTCAATAAATGGCATTGAATCCTGAAACTTTTGAATTCAAATTTTTTAGTTTCAAAGTAGGTACTTGCCCTTAAACCCCCGGCAAATTACAACCCCCGCAAACGTTCTCATGACCTTCTCGTCAGACTTTTTCTTTTCTGTCTCTTCTCTCTCTGTTTGTTTCACTCCAAACGTTACAAAACATTGTTTCCAACTTGCACTCTCCCAAATCCAGCAAAAAATATAACGGTTCCTCATAAAATCCAATCATCGACCAAACAAACTCCCAAACCACAGGAGTCCAATCTCACTCAATTCCAGGATGCACTAGCCAGGATATATGTGTCAAAGTCAGACGAAACTTCTTCCTTTTTTCCTTCGATGATTGAATTCCGCCTGTATTATTCCCCGCGCAAAGCCCAAAAAGAATCCTTGGTTTGATTCACTCGCCAGCGAGAAATAACGGACCGCTGCACTATACTCCCAATCAAAACAGATCCCAGCCAGCCAGCAGTTTACTCTAATAGTACAATAAAGTGTTTTGTTGACACCGCAAAAACCGTTAGAGGAAGACTCAGAGCTGGGGTGAACTTTTTTTCGGCGAACAATAGGAAAGGGCAAAGGATAAATAGAGCACCGCTATATGCGATCCGTTGATCCCATCATCGTTTGAGGAGGCTCAGTTTCACTAAAGACTCGAATACAATAAACCGACCACCAAAGGTGAGCCTTTTGTCTGGGCTGGGGCATTGTTTCGTTTCGCTTCCTTATTGTCGGCTTTTGCTTATGCTTTTGCTTATTGAAGTCGGCAATCGATCCTGAAATCCCGAGTGTCGAAAACTCGCGTATGAAACCCTTCGAAACCCCCGAATACAGGCTATAACAGAAATAGGCCCTGCGGCCATATTTCTTGAGATCTTCTTCTCCAAGATTCACTTAAATCCTGAAGAATCTAGATCAAGGATCGACTTGTGGACCCAAATTCTCGAACCTTTAAGCCATTCGTTTTTCAACTTTCAGTCAATATTTTACGTAAATCGTTTGCTTGTTCTCAAATCATTTTTTGGGCGAATAATAGAACAAGTCCGGAGGGTTAATGCTAAAGACTCGATACAATAACCAACGACCCGCCACCAAAGTTGAGCCTTTTGTGTGGGCTGGGCATTGTTGCGTTTCGCTTCCTTATTGTTGCTTTAGAGCCGAAGCCATAAAGTGCATTTGGGATGAACCGAAGTCAATCATCGCCGAAATTTTGGATTGAAATGGGATTGAAGCTCAACGAATTGAGTGAGGGATATAGGATAACTGGATCCTGAACCGGAAAAGTGGTGAAAAGGTAATGTGATATCCAAATATAGCTGGTGGTTTCAAATTTCGCGCAGAAAAGTCATATGTTTGAACTTTTCCTGGAAAAAATGACTAAGTTTTGAGAAAAGGTGGATAAGTTGCGTTTGGCGCCAATTTAAAAATCTGAAAAAAGTAACGGAAACTAGAGAAAAGGTTGGCATAGAGACAGTAATATCAGATTTGTGACTAATGTGGAGAAAAATACCCGAAAAACGCAAAATAAAACCGTTTTTCATCACTTTTTGGTTAATTGTACCGTTCCTGGAATTTCCGGGAATTTTTTGAAAAATTCGAGAAAAAAGTCGTTTTTTGCACTAATTTCTTATCTGCTGTATTGCGCATGATTTCTTCTCTCATACCTTTGGAATTCCTCCAACCATACCTGCAAATTTTATTATAATTAAACATTCCAAACATTCTTAACATTCCAGGTATCCAACCAATGAACATTTAAACCAACAATTTAGTTTACCGTTATAAGTTATTTTTACAGTTAAGTGGCATTTTCTTCCTGCAGATTCGACTTTAATGTTTTAATGTCACCTCCAAAGGTGTTGGCTGAATGCCAGAAGTGTCACGTGAAAACTACTCAGGTAGTCAGTCCAGGTAGTCAGTCCAAGGAAGAAGCTATTGAGTAACGGTAATTATGAAATCACGGTGTGTGTTGTCAAGAATGTGAAGAATGCGCATCCCGGAGATGGCCATTGTTAAAGCTATTATTAAAGCCGCAACAATTAGTCACCTGTCTATGCAATTTATCTGCCTCAAGAATTTACCTGGCCGCGTGACCGTTACCGCTAACCTTTGAAAATGTGGCTGATGTGTAGCTTGACGCTCGCCTGGGAGAATGGTTGGAAGAAAGTCTTGCCAGCTTTTTGCAGAAAATGAAGATGAAAATGGAAACAAGTTTGAAATGAAACTTTTTGAGGAAAACATTTTTACTTGAAAAATTGAACGTTTTGAGACAATTTTTTAGTAATTTTCAAG